TTTTTTCCACTCTCTTTCTTTCTTTTTTTCTTTCTTTTTTTCTTTCTTTTTTTTCTTTCTTTCTTTCTTTCTTTCTTTCATTTTTCTTTCTTTCTTTCATTTTTTTTTTTCCTTCTCCGGCCCTGTGAAGTGAATTATAAATGGTTTCCAGTCTGTCGGGACCTGCAGAAGCCAGTCGAATTACTGTTCTGGCCCAAATTTTGGTTTTTAGGTGGCATGGGCAGATTTCTTTCCCATGTCATATATTTTTCTTCTGATGCTGATTGTTGAAAATCAATCACACCCGATTAACTTAGAGGATAGAAGTGGGATGCAATCACCTCAGTTGTTTCCCACTGTAGAAAGTTATTAATAGAGCGGCAAGATAGATGGCGACAAACCTGAATGGTCTCGGGTACTGCTTTAGGTGGCACGGACAGTCGCATGCAGAGATAAGACATAAGGCGGATTCTTGATCACTGATCATTGGTATCAACGGTGAAAATTGCCAACCAGAAAAGAGACATTAGAGAGTAGAAGAATGAACCAATAATAATAATGCTTCTATTGGAAGTTCTAACCTTTGAAGGTTAAGTGCCGTGTAAGTAGCGTGGATATCAGATATTCTATGGCGACTAAATGTCCAGCCCCAAATTGAACCTACCTAAAGATACTTGCGGGGGTTCAATTTACGATTTGTTCTAATCCCAACGTTTAACAAGTGAAGACAAGTTGTATTATATCTTATTAGCTTTAAAAAATGGGACAGGAGAGCCGTTCCTGAGACCTCCCTGTGCGTTTGAATTGCCCAATGGTCCTTCATCATGATGTTGACGTGATGTTGTTGAACGCGAAGCATATCAGTCTGGTGACCTCTATGGCCCATTATTGGCCAGCCGCAAGACAAGGACGAGGTTCTGCGGCAAGGTTTGGTATGATGTGTACGAGAGACCCTTGGCGTCGACTCAACCAAGGAAGTCGGCCAACATTGACAGGGAACGGTCGTATATCAGGATTAGGACGACAGCTAAGCAAAAGGATTTGGGAGCTCTCCATATCTCAAAACGACCAAAACTTTTTTGCCCAAGGAAAGCCCAGTCTCGACATTTCCAAAGATCTTGGGGAGCTATTCTGTCTCTTATTCTCCTCCCCTTTTTCTTCTATAACATAGATATTGGAAAATTAAGTGATAATGGTCAACCTGTCACCATACCATGTCGTTTATTTCTTTTCTTATTCACACCCTTGCAGGGTGTAGACAAGAGAGAACGTGATTCAACGCACACCAAAAAAATATCACAGAAAAGAAGCGGGAGAGCGGCCGCCGGAGCCATGTAACATTTAACTGTTTGCAGTTAGACCAACATATTGCACCTTCTTGGCCCTGTATAGTGGACCGGATAAAGGGTACATATGTTCACGCCAGCGTTAGGGGAAGGTTGCGAGGATATGCAGCTACGGGGTTTTGCCGCTTCATGTCAGCAAGACTGAATGATGTCAGTCAGCAAAACGACTGGATAGTTGATATCGAAAAGATGCAGCCCCAATGTGGAGCAGCAGAGCGTTGATAACTTTAATAGGTTAGAGGAATAGATAAAACCTGTTTGGAAGGATTCTAGACGTACAATACCTAGGCAAGTATCATCGTAGATCATGTGCAACAACTGAAGGTTTCCAGTACATGGATGATACAAGTGTGTGATACAACCCATTAATACCCGGGCAAATGGGAGGCGCAGTGTTGAATAGAATAAATGCGGCGCATATGACGAACTATTGATCAAGCGGCAAAATGACAACTGAACGTAGCAATAGCCATTGCTTCGTTGATGCGTGTAGAAGGGTGCCTCACCGAGATAACTGTATGTGATTTATGCCTATGCGCCAAGACATGCGGATATAAGGCACCTTAGGGACTAACATGTGGCTCTGTACGTACAGACATACTGAGGACCCCTCTCTCATATCATACATGCAATAGTAATATACGTACTCAATTAGCACAGCAATGGGATGTACAGTACATACATAAGAGTAATAGAAACATAGACTGTATGTACTTTAGTTCCGCCGGAATGAATGTACTGGTTAACTACTGGTAAAAACCTCCAAGTAATCCAAAGTGGCCATAAGAAGCAGTGTACTCGGCCCCGCCAAGCACGAATAGCTATTTGCCTCCAATACCCGTTATGGTTCTGAACGGCGATTGCGAAGAAGTCCCCTCCTGCTCTGGCTCCGATGCTGAAGAACGGCCTCCGCGAATCGGGAGGTTCTTGAACCCCACAGCGGATGATTGGCCCAGGTGACGAAGAGGCGCCCCCCCTGCAGAAGCCCACCAGGGTCCCCCAACCCGGTCAGCATCTCATATCCGCCTGTTCTAGCGCGGTATTGTGCTTGTATTTTGCTGTGTCAGGGACCCAAGGGGGAAGTTTGGTTTGGCCCAACTCGCTTGATGTGACGTCTGCGACTCGAGTTTGAGGCTGACCCGAGCCGTCGGGTCCAGTCCTGGGCCCTTGATTGGGCGAGCGTAAAGAGCAGTTGGCTAACTAACTATATAACGTTTAGTCTATCCCTTGGGCTTGTCAGAAAAAAATCAAAATCAAATCAAACCTCCAACATCAGCCACAAAACCGGGTTTGGCAGCAAAGATCTTTACGAGTTTCAATCCTTGCACCAGGGAAGAAGACCAGACTAATGATGATAAGGATCCTGGCATTGCCCTCTTGTGCATAACAGTTTTAGAAGACCGGAGTCTCCTGAATCTGGATCTCAGACTGTGGTCCTATTTTTCTTGATCGGTTCCCCTCCAAACACCTGGCATAAGTCAGATCGTCCTTGTCCCGGCATCCCATGCACCCCGGTTTCACAAACGGAGCATCAATTTACAACAATTGTCTATCACTGCGTTGTTTGTTATGTCGGTGACTGCAGTCCCAAGGCTGACCAAGTCGCCGAGTCTTTCGAGAACTGTGCCCTACAATACTGCATCTGCGTCATTCACGTCCTGATCTGACCTTATCGTGGATCCGATTCAATTGTTCCTTCTGTGTGGCATGACTACGCTATTATTATCCCAAAAATACCAGCTATTTTCCAGCATTGGTATAACTCGATGCGCGTAGAAGTCTTCGATCTAATATCTACCGACCGCATTTTAACACCTATTCGGGCTGTTTCACACAGTCTCTGCATTCCTCCCTGGTTGACTTCACCTCATCTTCATCTGTTATTTTTGAAAATTATTGCAAGGGTTGCCGGTTGAGAGTCGGTCCATGTTTGCCACTGACCGACAAAACCTTATGTGCGCCCCGGCAGAATTATCTGCAATTAATTTTGATGCAGAAGGAAAACTATTACCAAAGCACCCCTAATAAATATTGGGATTCGCCGGGTCTCGGGGATTCGGGGAAATGACCAGTTTATTCTTTCCTTCAAACCTGGCAGCATATCTTGAAGCCACAGGACCACCCGCGACCCCGGCCTCCTTCTCTGATAATAAGGCTCTTCCAGATTTCATAGGTGCTTGATAAGCATTCCTATTATTGTTATTATTATCATTATTACATTATTTTGGCTGACTTTCCTGTTGCAAAAAGTCCCACCTCGAAACTCAAAACGTTCTTCATGAAATTATCGAGCGCGTTGCTATCCCGGCATTGCCAAACTTTAAAAAGGACTCCTGGAGGACAGGGCGTGAATTACTAATTCTATCAAGTCTCAAATGTGTGTTTGTGTTTGTCATAAGTTAACGAATAACTAGTTGGTTAACTAGCTAGTTTAACTAACGTTGGTTAGCAAAGGGGAAGGGTGGTTACAAATGCGGCCTACATAAACATCTGCCATTGGCTGGGCTGAACTAAAACGAGTTTTGATTTACAGAACGCGTCGCCATGATGCTTATCAAAACGGTCCCCTTCCATGTCACCATGATGTTGGCTCACGGTTAAGCAACCAAGGGCGATAGTTAACCGATACGTTATTATTACCCCTTCCTTTAGCTAACGGGGTTTCATTCGTTGCTGCATTTAAACTAACCTGGTGAGGTGTTTTGTGCTTCGGCTGAATACTTTTTCGGACGTTGGTATGGAGAAGTTACTTAGGCTTTCAATTACCAATTTGCAGGGTAACGAACCCAGCACTCAAGACTGGAAATATATGATATATGATATATGCATATATTATCTACCCCCAATATTATTGCTATCTATTTCCCTAATGCCCTGGAATTTTTTACCCCACTGGGCGCCACGGAAAAATTCAAATTTACCTTCCACTGAAAGCCATGATGGTTCACCACATGCTTCCTAATGGATCATATGTTTAGTCCGCTCCTGTTACTTTCCAAGGACATTCGTTCCCCTGCAAAATGAAACATTGAAGAAGAACTGTGTCCTGGTCACACAATATGCAATCCGGAGAGGGCCCTGAAACCTCCCTTTTCTACCCCATATACCCCTCACTGTTGGTTTTCGTGAGCTTTTCTCTTTCCGGCTGGTCGCAGAGATTTGGCAGAATTGAAAATAAAAAATATGAAATAAAAAAAAAAAAAAAAAAAAAAATGCATGCCCTCTCCCAACACATGCTGCAAGTGATTTTCCATTTGACCAGCTAATCCCTGCTACGCAAAACACAGCAAACCTAATCAACAAGTGAAGAAAAGTCACGATCTACCGCGCTCAATACACGTTTATTGCAGTTCTATCTGTCACTACTCCATAAATGGACGAGCAAATATGCACGTAAAGGAATAGACCCCACTTCATCAATGACAAATGTGTTACTAACGTAGTTTCTACCATTGCGGTCAACTTGAGTTATTACCGAAACACCTAATAATAGTTAGTTCCCAGATATCAGTGACGTCTTCCAACGACCCACAGAGAGAGAACAGATACCAAATAGAGTTGGTGCTCGGGTATTTGCCGATGCTGCTACCATGAAATCAACATTCCTTAAATCTAAAAGGAGATCCAAAATTGACTTCTGGCCGTTTTCCGCTGGGTGCATACAAGAATCCCCACATGGATTTTGAGGGTAGGAAATACCAAAAACCAGCTTCGGATTGATCATTATTTTGGACTCTAGACCCCAACGTGAACTGATTCTTAGAAGGGCGTAAGAGCCAGAGAAGCGAGCAGGAGAAAACTACGATCATCCATTTCCGGAAGAGCCAAGGCAGCAGGGGCAGAGGTAAAATATCCCGCATCGACGCTAAACTATCATATGAAGGTGCGTTTGGAAAACTTGTTTTCAGTTTCTCAAAACTCTCCATACCATTTACAAGTTATCACCAATTCTCTGGATGGAAATGGGGGCCCCAAGTACTCGGAGAGGCTGATAATGAGTACAAATTGTCTATATGCACATTTTTTTTGTGTCTTCTTTCTTGTTTTGGTTGCAATTCTCCATTTAAATTGCGAGAAGGACCATCACTACTGGTACAATACACACTATCTGCTGACTAGTTAGTGCTGAGCCCTTATGAGGAGAAGGATAAACGGCAAAACACGCCCCGTGAAGAGGTACGCGCGTGAATAAATCGGCGGATTATAATATTGCATCAGAATACGTGATATATATGCCGCATTTACACGATCTGAAATACTTTCTCAAATATTTATTTTGGGACCATAGACACAGGGATATGGGGGGGGTGGGGGGGGCCAAGGCAGCGGAATAAGAGAAACCGCCAGCACTGCGAGCATAATCTCTTCAGCGCAGGGCCTTCCCCAACCTCCCTAATGCTGGCTCCACTTTGATTGGAGATCAGAGCGTGTGAACTCGCCCCTGGTCAAAAACTAATGGAAGCTGTGGAAGCATATACAGCACATACTCGAGGTACTAACCCAGGGCTGTCTCGTTCCGTTTCTGGGCTATTCTCACTAGCTGAATTACTCTTCAATTGCAGACACTGAAGCCTGATTTTTGATCCTGAGATCTGCACCTCTCTGAGATATATTTTCCACAAAACGAGTTGCTCAGGGATACATTAGATAGACGTTTTCCGTTCAGAACGTCAGGCTAGCGAGGGCCTAAGAACAAACTCCCACGGTTATTCAGTGGAACTGTTACGGGGAACAGGCATTTTGGAACTCCATCGAGGTTTATCTCCGTGGTTGGGGTATATGCATGCACGGCAGTTCATTTTCTGTTCCATATTGGCGAGGCTACATATTTATTCCAGAAGTCGCCTGTTTTCTTCTTTTTCTTAAACTTAGTTTTGTCTGCATACGGGTTCATGACTTGGCACGAATTGGGAGAGTATCTTGAAAGACTCTTAATGTGTTGATTGCCATGCGTGGCTTCATCAAGCGCGCTATACAGATGTAGTAATCGAGTGGTTACAGAACCCGCAAGGGGTTATAAGTGGGGAAATTATGTAGACGCGAATGTATGAGCCGCATACGCCTCTTCCTGTATCCCTGGATAGCCAATATATATTTATAGCAGTAAATCTATATCCTAATGGTATGAGGTGATACTTGACGCCTGTTCCTCCCGTTCCTATTATTCTCTCTCCGAAATAGAAGACATGTAACTACAGGAGCTGCTGTGGCACTGCTTGACACTGGAAAAAAATCGAAGGGAGAATACACAACGCAAGCCCTGTGGAGAGCCGTGAATGGCTGATGCATCTTTGGTGTAACTTCTACTCAGGGCGATGTCCACGTCGAAATATGGACGTGGAATCAAACCCCGGTAACAAAATATAACAGACAGGAGGGAAATGAAGAAAAACGTGGAAGAAAATTTAAAAAAATAAATAAATAAATAAATAAATAAAAATCCCATTAGTCTTGCATTCATATTACGCAGTGCCATTTTGGTTAAGAGGCGTCAATAAGGATGCTACACCGAGGGATAACTAACTGGTCAACTAACTACCCTGGCCTGGTTGCATCTCATAGAATAGGCTGAGAAAAAAGAAAAACGTCCCAAAGATATGAACCAAAGGCAAAAAGCAAAAGCACCGGAAAAGAAACTTCTAGTCCTCTGCATAGAACTATTTTCCTTACTAGTTAACTCTAGGTTTAAACGGTACTAAGCCATTGAGCCCCATTCGGAGAATGGAGAGGACAATTGTCTCTTATTTACGCAGTTGAAATGGAATGGATTAATGTTGGCGACGCATACTAGCCATTAACTCATTAACGATATTGACCAGCCTGGTGGTGGTGGTGGTGTTGGTGTTGGTGGGGGAATGATTCCGGTTACGTTAACTAACTACCAATACCAAGAAAAATCCAGGGGCAGTCCGCTTTCTTTCGAGAATAAAGCATAGATGGGTGCTGGGACCCAAGTCTCTAGATTAATCTGTTTTTTTATTTTTCTCAGGATAGTTAGTTACATTGATAGAAATTCTTTGTTAGGCCCGCGAAGCCTGAGCAGGTTCCCTGTTATAACTAACTATGGGCGATAACTAGTTATCTATCTCCCATTTCAAGATGCACTGTTGGCAATCACACACCACCCCCTTTTTGCTCTCCAAAGAACGAGCTTCTAACCGACTCACAACTATGTCTTGCGCAGCTATGGGGGAGTGCCCGGACATCTCCCTCCCCACCCCTTATGGTTGACTTCAGCAGGGAATCCCTTGCCGCCTCAATCTGCCCCGAAAACCCTGTGTGACATGTCCGTGTGCAACCAACGGGAATATGCCTTCTCCCGGAAACACGGCTGTTCTCGAAACGTGTTTTCCAAGATAAAAACTAATACTTATCAGCCTACCGAATGCAGTCAGAGAACGGTGAGAACACTCACTCTCATTTCGATTTTTTCCATCCTCCGAAGGAACTGCCCAGCGGAGAGCTTCGCCATCGGCTATCGCTCGAAGATGTGTGTTCCATGGACACACGCAACGTCTTGGAGAGCTTCCTCCCCTCCCTGGATATCCCCACTCGGACAGGGAACGGTGGGGGCCGAGAAAATGGCATTCATGAACCCAGCAACACGTGTGATCCGGAGCTGTCCAAGGAATTTGGATGGTTACTCCTGAGGAATCTTTCATGGTTTATCAATGGTGAAATCGGGAAACTTATGCTTTCATTATGTTCCATAACTATGCCTCTAAAACAAAACTCTTCACATTACGGATTTATTCGGAGATTTCAAGTTGAGACACAGCGTTGCCGCAATATCAAAGAAACAAGAGATGTAGCCCTGGAGTACATGTAGTTTTTTTATTATTATTATTATTATTATTATTTTTAATCTGAGAAGAGTGCTGGGTGAAAAAAAAAGGTGCGGGCAAGTCCTAATTACTTTTGATTTGCTTTCCTTTTCTACATACACACTGTCAGGTTGGGAAAATCGCGTTCAAAGGGAATAATTTTACAACATAGAAGAGAAACCTTCCAAACATATCTTCTGGCTTGATCCATTTACCCCTAATTTCAGTGCATTCCTATTTCAATTTCATGTGCTTTCGCTTCGGGTTTCATCGGGGCCCCATAGAACAGTTCTATTATTCTAACTCACATCCCTTGAGACTTTGTAATACGTGTCCTGGAACCTTCGATCCGCGGATCCGCGGGGGCTGAGGAAGGTTGGACACTTATTAATTTGGTTCTGATAAGTGCCTCCTTGTGGCTAATAAATGAGAAACGCATGAAGCAGGTCAATATTTGAAATCATTTTTGCACCGAGTAGTGACAAGAAGTGTAATTGGTTCATCTCGATATTGATAGCCATGTATGTCATTTCCATCTCGAGGACTTTTTCTACTCTTTCTTCCTCTCTGAAGGTTAGTTTGCCTTGGACATACATATGATTGCTGTTAGTGTTTCTAACACCAGCCATTGGTCCATACAATAACAAAAACGTGGAGGATCATAATAAAAGATCCTTGTTTGTGAGGAGAGGGGGGGGGGATGCAAGTTGACATTGGCCAACATTTCTGACATATATGCACAGATGTTCGTTCATCCGCTTGTGCGTCCTTGCTACGCCGCTGGTTGTTGTTGTCAAATTCTGCCAATTGGATGGATTCCTTTCTCAGCATCTCGCGACACATACGCATTGTCTTTATCAGGTGCAAACAATAACGCCCATCCGTTTTCCAGTTTAATTCCGGGCGGAAAAGGCCATGCATTTCGGGGACTACTTTCCCAGTCGCCGAAGTCATATAATCGCGCCATATCTCAGCTCCTGAGTGGATAGCAGCGATGAAGTGTCCTAGACATGACCACATAACTGCCTGAATACGTTTAATTACTCCGACGCTGATAATCGACCGGTAGTTAATAAGTTTTCTGGTCTTTATAAGCGAAAGGATTGACATGTGTAAGACGTTCTTCTACTTCTCGACTTACTGAGAGATACAGGGCCATTTATATGGAATAGTGCAGGAAATGTCATGGAGAGACATGGTTCCCCCATATTTTACCATACGGACAACTAACTTACTATCTAATAGGTAACTAGTTAACTGATGAATGACCTACATCAGCAATCACTGCAAGGGTAGGCCAACAAGCCTTTTGATCTACGTAGTTGCATGCGTCCCGGACGCCAACAACCACAAGGTTAGCGGCACTCTTTTAAATTTAAGCTCTGGGTGATAGCAAGAGATCGTCATCCAGAACGGTCTGAGACACCGAATGACAGCTTGCCGCTCCTCACTAGTTACATGGCGTCTGGTCGCCTTCCGTTTTTTTCATGTACGGAATGCCAGTCACCGTAGGATCGTTGGGCAAGCCTATTATCTGCTCTCTCCGCTAGTCAGATCTACACACCGATACTGTCTCCCATGAAGCCCGTTCCTAGGCAAGATTTTTTCTCTGGTCTTGGAATCATACATTTATTTCCTGCATAAGCACATCTCGGCCCCCAACGGTCAACTTATGCTTTGCGCCGCAAATGTGCTCATTCCCATTGGTCCTATTTGGTTCCAATATTCCACTTCTCCTTGCAGCCCTTCCTGCAAGAGAAGAATGTTACACTGCATCCCCGCACTGCAACAAAATAGTAAACATTGCCAAGCATTCACAAGGCTGATCATCGATCACGGCTGGCTCCACTCTCCTGTCCGACTTCGAGGCAGATCTGTGGAATCAGTGGGCGGGGGGAATGTTCCCGCACCAAGCCCTATTAAGCTAGGGTAAACAACTCTAAATTTCATCCCGCTTGTCCCAGGCAATCTGCCAGGAGCGGCCTCCCCTGACTTGTGAGATAATATACATCCTGGGGCGGTTATCTAGATTGGTCTGGCATATCGCGGGGTTAGGCGCATCTGCGATTCCATTTGCATGGAGAAGAGAAATAAATCGAGAAGGTAGAAAGCAATTCTGGATTGAAGCCCATACTATTCACGGTCAGTCCTAATAGAGCGCTAATTTATCATGACGTCTTAAAAAAGATGATGGATAATTTTTTATATTTACTGATCACCTTTCAGCTATTTCAGTTGCCGACAACCCTGTCTGTTGAGGAATCTGGTGTTGGAAGCCTTTTATTTAATAATATTCTCGTGGCTGTCAGTTATTAAAATTGCCATGTTCTGCCCGCTTCGAGGACATGTCATTTCGGGATTTATCAATTTACCTCAAGTTTAGCGGGAATACCAAGGGGAATTTTTGGAAATTTTCATAAATTGATCATCAAGAATTCATGGAAGTGCCTCTGTGCTTATGCTAGACAGATTTCTTGTCAGGCGCGTGTTTTCCTTCAGGTTCAGCCGGTCGACCCCCCTTTAACCTCGACAAACGATTCTGTCTTACTATCATGTGTCACCTATGTTTGATTTTGAATCCGCCGATTCAAAACATAGCGAATCAGGATTTTCTCTTTGAGAACGAATGCTTAATGTCTGACCTGCTGAGAGAGTATGACAGTATTCAGGTAACGCCCTCGTTTGCATAAGTGCTCGAAGATCATTCTATCCAAGATGCTATCTGTAGGTACCCCTCTGGGAGAAGTGCAAGATATATGTGAGAAAGGGTTGGCGGGGATGGCCAAATATTACCCAAATCAATGCTGATGGGAGGGGTCAGTTTGTGGTGGTGTAACTAGGTCTGCTATATTTCCCTTTCTTTCGGATCCCAGTCATGCTCGAGGCCGGTTGGCTCGAGGCGAAGCTTAAATTCCTTCTTTTCTTTCTTTTCTTTTTCCATTTTGTTTGCTCTTGCGAAAACACCCTTTTTGCAAGAAGGCAGATAGAGCTGAGGGGTTTTGTTTCCTGTTCATTTCTCATCGTGCATGTAAATAGTAAATATCTAAAATGCCCGTCTTCCCTCTATCACTTTTGCTGCATAGCGTCCGGGGACTATACATGTGTGAATATGCCATTTCATGCTTTAACTAACTAATAGCAGCCTGGGAGCTTATAACGCTCTAAAGAGGAGGCTTTGTAGGCTAACATACCGGCATGTTTACGCGCACTCTTCCCACTGCTATCTCGCTCTGTGGGTCTAATCCGACCATCGACACCGTTCTCGATTTTAGAGGAATCCCGAGCTACCGTCACAATAACCCCCAAACTCAACACAACAATATCAAGTTACCATTCAGATAAGAGCGGTTTCCCACCTTGCTAGGAAGGGAAGAATCCCCATTTTCGTGGGTTTATGGCTTTTAGGAGGTGGAATAACCTTTGCAAGGGCTAGTTAGCCGGTTATTTTATGTAATTTCCCCCCGCAGACAATAACCGCCCTCGACAATAGCGAGCCTTTCCTTGAATTGTGCCAGACAGCCGGGATCGCATTTCCTTGCTGTATAAGTTCGCTAAAAAATTATATATTTTGCTCCCACCATGACGTTAAGAACTTTCCCGAGATGTCCGGTCGTCGCCTTTGTTTTCTATTCGAGAAGATAGCACATCCAGGTAAATCGTGTAACTAACTAACATTTAACTAATGCACAGCACATGCAAAGCATGTCGAGGACAACGCTTGAAATGAAGCGGTCACCAGTGCGAGATCGTGAATTATGAATAATAATGCATGTAAAGTTTTCAGGGAGACAATGCGATTCAAATTGCGGAAAACATTTCCCCGACAAGGGGGAGGGTTCTAAGCGACGAGAGACTCTTATAGGGCCGTGGTGCTTGATTGTGCTCCCGATGATGACAGACTTGTAATGCGGGCAGGTTGCACAACCGTTTGTAGGGTAATTAGGAGACCCCAATTGACGTAGTAAGTAGTAAGTAACATCGTGAAACTTGAGATGCGGGCAATATCCCCAGCTGCTCTGCTCTTCTCGATTAACTACTCTAGGTGCTAAAGGGAGGGAATGTAAAGAGAAGATCCCTTAGCTATCTCCAAATATCAGCACTGGCAATTTCATGGATTAACGACGCCCAAATGGATTAAGTGATTCGAGTCCGACTTCGGCCATTTCCCAAGGTAAGTTGACAGGGGTGCGTTGATGCCGATGGATGCCCGTGGGCTGATGATATTTAAGGTCCATTGACTAACTAGTTACCTATCGAACCAGGGCTGATCAGAACTATCAAAACCAGATATTGGTGGACAGCTTTCAGAACTGGACGGACCGCAACAACTGCGAGGTCGTCCTCAAAAATTATCCGAAAATTGCCCAGCAGAGTTCTCTCGATCGATATTGCTGGCAATTATCCTAAAATAGCCACAGAGTTCTTTGCTCAACAAGGTGGCAAATTTTCCTCTTTGCCCTTGAGTTGACCCCAGACCCATGACGCTTACACCGTGTCCCTGCCGCCCAGGTCATATCTCTTGTTGTGACATGGTGACAAGGCATTCACAAACCTCTGTGGGTGTGGATGGATGTGGTACTATTGCCGGCTACTTTCTCAAGCTTGTGTTAAATTCGAAAACTTGTTGCTGTGGTATGTCCGGTGCTGGTGCTTCAAAAGCTCACGTATCATCACAGTTGGGTTGTGATTGTTGCGACACAATACCTGATTCTCAGGACTGTGTGTATGTGTGTGTGTGTGTGTGCGTGTGTGTGTGTGTGTGAGTGTGAGTGTGAGTGAGTGTGAGTGTGTGTGTGTGAGTGTGAGTGTGAGAAACTGATTGAGCTAAAGCGAACACTACCATATCGTTCCATGGAGGTTCGCAAGCGGGATAGCTCTGAAGAGCTATTGGAATTTCTAACAAACCAGTCTCGTATATGCCATCTTCCAATCATGGTACTCAACCATCGTGCCAGGGGAGGTTGCCACTATCTTTATATTTTGCCACTCAATATTTGCTTTCAGAGCCATACAGGGACGGCCTCAGATCGACCTGTTAGTTTCTAGTCCAATATCAAGTTCCTGCTCCTCGTTTTGTTTCCAAGCATTCGCCCCCCATGGGATATCAGGTTTGACCAAGCTGAAAATGTCAACACAAGCAACAGCCCTCGAAGAAGCTGTTTTCACCTGCGGCGACAGCGACAGGGAAACGAAGTGCGGGGGAACTAGTCGCAGAAGCCAAGAGCTGCTGTAACCCACTGCCACCATGACTATGCATTAAACCATTGTCGCGACTGGGAAGATTGGATAGACGCGGAGTGTTGGCCCCTGATCACCGCCCTCCCGTCTCATCTCTCCCTGGATTCTTGATGAGAGGTGGGATGGAGCGGTGGCATGAAGGCTCTTGACATAGGATTTTCCTTCTCCTACTCTTGAAGCCCATGGTCCAATTCACTGGTGGCATTTTGGCAAAGCACATGCCATATGGATGTCCAAATTGCTCCCAGCGAAAAAGCGAATACCAACACACCTCTCACCCGCGCCATGGCTAGCTAGCACTTCAGCGCCATATATTGGGGTGGCACAGGACGCATCCAGGCCTGAAGCCTTTCATTTCCGAGCTATTTTGTTACATTGCATGAGGCATGCTCTGTGGAAATATAATATGCTGGCATGCAGCCTCGAAAACTTCGTTGGCCACTGCAATATCGGGCATACAAGGTACCCCTTAAAATGGCTTGCTATGCTTGGGAAAATAAATAACTGTTAAAGGTAACAGAAGTAAGAAAACGACGGAGTCCTTGAACGTAGCACAGAACATAAGCAAAACAAATTTCCGAATTCCTATTCTCATTTCTTAATGGGTTGGGGATAGATGGGAGCCTGCAAAGCAGTTTTCAACCTGTTGCCCTACATTTCAATCCTCGTTCTCCAGTTTCTCCATGCTCACTTTTATGATTCTTCCCTGCCCGAGGGCATTACTTCAACTTTCCTCCGCTCCGTACTGTCGTGTTTCGTTTGGACTTTAGGCCTGCATGGGCCAGTCGTACAACCGTCTACAGTGCATACCTAGTCTCACCATCCAGCTCACTATTATATCTCCGATTCAATTTCATTTGTTATTGAAACTTGTTGGAGGGTGACATGATTAGCTTGACAGCCTGCAAGCGCCGGGGTCCTGTGTCTCTATCTCGCGTTTGTGGATTTTTTATTTTATTTTCAAAAACAAGAATCCTTGCTTTCTAAACCAACAAGTCTTGTCGGTCTCATATTGTGTGCAGATATCAAGTCATCAGAATGATAGTGTTAGCGTCTTCCATGTCTATTGGAGATGCCGAGATGAACCAGCTGGTAACATATCCCGAAAAAGGGGAACTCCTCTCACCCATGTTTTCGAGACATTGCTCCTCTTAGCTTGGGGAAGCAGGAAAAATGCGTTTCAAGCCTGCCTTCTGTTAGGTATGGATAGTTCGATAGATGGAGGGATGTGTGTTGGAAGCTGGCTGATAAGCATGTTTCGAAAGGACCAACTAAGTGATTATCTATCCCGAGATTCGTCACATTTGGACAACGGGTTCCAGTATTCATGGACGATAGGAATTGAACATCTCTTTTCTTTTGTCTGCATTTCAGCATCTCAAATACATCCATCTATCTAATATCTGCCGGCTGGAGAAGGAGAGGAGACAATGGACTATGAGAAGATTTGGAGAAGCTTCAACAAAACATGAGCTCTGATAAATGAAGGGGTAAAAAATGCTGCAGGGCGCTTTTTGTAGACGAGTCGAGTTAAAAGTAAAGGGGCTAATGTTTCTCTAGAGAATGTCAAAAATAATTAAATTTGAACATAGCACCAAAACTATAAATTGAAGGGAAAATTTAACGGATTATGGTATCTTCATACCTCAGAGTTATAATTTTATGCTAACCTCACCCTATCCATTTCTCACTCTGCCAAACCATATCAAAACTCCTTGAAAGAGAAGAAAGGGTCCTAAAACCAGAACATCCAGGGTAGAGAAAAGAATAAATGGAGTTAATGATACATACAGGCACCATATATACACATGAAGTACAGGGGATATGGATGCTTGAATGATGTTACAAAAACAAGTAAGTGCACTATCAGCCCCTTTTTTCTACTTCTTTTATCTCAATCAACCAGAAAATGATGGAAAGGGGGAGAGAAAGAGAGCGCAAAATGGGATATGTATCATATCGTACGCATTTAGCGATAGGAGGCATATTGTTACCTATGCCTGAATAACAGGGGGAGCAATAATGAAACATAACGTAGTGGTTCTTGTGATTGAAAAGCAGCTTGAACAAAAAAGTAAAAATCCTGGATGATGCATACTTGAAATCTCCTATTTCCTTAATTCCCCAAGGCAGTACACAACGAGGAGTTTGCTTTGCTTGAATGCTTTTCCAAGGCTTCTTGTTACTTTCTTTTTCAAGATAACATAAGGAGTGGCGGGAAAAGTTGAGGAGAAATAACAAAAAGCGAAATTTTGAAAGAGAGGCAGCTCATCCAAGGCATTCATCCATCTATGATCCTGCCATTTAACCTGTAAAATATATCCTCGAATCGCATTGTCTCTCATTGATTATTATTTGATTTCTGTGTTGGCTGAACCAGAGTCGTCCCGAAGGCATGTTGTTGCTGTTGCTGTTGCTGTTGCTGTTGCTGTTGCTGTTGCTGAACCCGCGGTTGTGGGAGAATCACGCAATCCAAAACCTGTGGCGTTGTACCAGATATCTGATACTGATACTGATGCTGTCTCTGACTCTGACTCAGGTTTAGACCTTGCGCTACCGCCAACTCGTTCTCCCTCCTTCTCCGATCCTCCTGATCGGGAGTCATGTTCTTGACAGGTGGTGGTATAGGGGAATCGGGAGATGCTCTACCCATTAGCTTGGGACTGGGATGGAGTCTCTGTACAGGTGGCAGAATGGGCGTGGTCACCGTGCTTGAAGAGGTAAAGGATGAAAGAGGTGGGTGTGCTGGGGTGTGTTTTATGGGACTTATACCTGAAGTGGGAGGTAGAGATGGAGAGGGAGAGGTGTATGCAAATGAGTTCCTGGCTGGTGTGGAGGTGGTGGAGGAGAGAGAAGGGGATGTACGAGAAGGGTTAGATGGCTGGGCTGCTGTGTAAGCTGGGGAGGAGGTAATGGCGCTATGTGTGGGAATTTGGTGATGGACGCGCGGAGTGGCGGGAAGGGGTCCATTCGGAAGTGATGAAGGTGGGAATCCGGCTAGCGGGCCGACGTCTTGGTTTCCCTGCGTAGGGGACATGGAGGGGAGGTTTCGTATTGGGGATATGAAGGAGCCTGCTTTCGTTGATGGGGATGCGGAGACGTGTTGGGGGGTGAAAGAGCTGGAATTTGATCTTGGGTAGAGTCCTGGAGGTTGGTAGTGAAGAAAATGAGGGGCAGGTCCCGGCGGCTGAGTGTTGGGACGCGGGAGCGCGTTTGAGGCTTCGTTGGTAAGGGAGAAAGGGGATGGAGCCAATGAGGAGTTAGGCTGCTGTATATTGGAACGAGGGTGGGGACCAGGAGGCAGAGGATAGAGACCATTGTGTATTGGCTGCTGCATTTGGCGCTGGGGTGACGAGGGTATGGTCGGCTGGCTAGAGAGAGAGGTGGTTTGAGGGTTAAGTAACCGTTGCCCCTGGCTAATCTCAACCACAAAGCCATTCGTTGAAATATTGCTTTTTGGCAGTGGGACCGAAGGTTTAGCAGGGGAAGTAGATGGGTGTTTGGCCTTCTTCACTGAAGGGGAGATGGAATGATTCTGCCTCTTGCGTTTTTCTCCATTGGCCTTTGGCTTGCCAGTCGAGGGAGGGGAAGAAGAGGCGCCAATGCGGAACTTCAGAGGAGGGATTTTCGGTAGATTAGCCTCCTCTATACGACGTTTGCAGTCGCTACAGACAAAATGGAAATCTTCCTTTTCCGCTTCATCTTTTGGAATAACCAGACATTCGATATGTTGCCAAATATTGCATTTCTCGCAAGCAACAATATGAGAGCCATCATCCTGTGTCAGAACTTAGTGACCACTTACGAGCCGCACCACAGTAGAACGGCAAAGATGACTTACAAGATTCTCCCCATGAACACCACAACCCGAACAATCGAAAATCCACCGTTCCTCGTTCTGTAGAGCCTCGAGATCCTTCTTGCGCTTCTCCATCTCAGCCTTCAAATGCCTCTTAGACATCCTCGCCTCGCCGCTTTCAATCTTCTTTGCCTCCTCCGCTATCTTGGCCAGCTCCTCTTCATGCAATCTCCGTTTTTCTTCACGGTCCTTGAGACGCTGCTCCCGGGTCATCATGCGGTACAGCCGTTCCTTCTCAATCTTCTTTTGCTTCGCCTGCTCCTTAATCGCAGCAAGGCGCTCTGCTTCACGCTTTCGCGCCGCTTCTGCAGCTTCCATTTCCTGGCGTTCCCGGTCTTGCTTGCTTGCTATTCTGCTTGAGCGTTTTGCATTGGCCATGCGTTGCATATTAATCAATTCTTTCTCTCTTCGTTCTCTTTTCCTTCGTTGAGACTCCTCGACTTTTTCAATGATGGGGATGACATTCTCCACGAGCTGTTCTCGAAGGAACTCTTCGTTGGGATCTTTAGACTTTTTAATTGTTTCGAGGAAGGCGTTATACTGTGCAAGGGTAATAGCAATGCACTCCCATTTGTAGCCATGGTCAGATGAATCTTGTTCAGCGCCTCCATTAGCCTCATTCTTGGGCTCTTTATCCTCTTCATCTTTTATTCCAGAAAGTTTTCGCTTTTTCGCAGCGCGGGCAGCTGCTCTCGCCTTTTTGCTGTTCGCCTTTGGTTTAGCAGGCCTAGCAGCCGGGATGGGAGGGTCAGTTCGACGGTACAACCTGTTATCATCGAGCACGTAGTAAAGCCGCTCATCGCGATCATATCCAATTTCGTCCACGCGCTATTTAATTCAGCCAAAATCAGCACTCAGCTCCTCAAGAAGCAGCACAAATCTGTCCAAGGGGTCTACCAGTTACATACCCATTGAGTCTGCTCCGTTTCTTTTTGCTCCGGCATCCTTTCGCGCATGCGATCCGGATTCCAGAAAGTCCATAATGCTAATTGCTGCAAGATACGTATTCTTTGAAAAATATCGAGATCGTTGAATTTGATCGGCTCCTCTGCATCCCCGAACGGGTTACGGGCAGGTGCTTTTGCCAAGTATTGCCGCCTGGTATACTCTTCGAAGTTTTCCGACCTATCACGCCA